TATTTAATAATTAAAATAATATAAAATAGGGAAGGGGGGGGACTATTATCCACTTTAACCTAACCGGAAAAATGACAAACTGGAAAAAGCGAGACGGATACGCTCGATACTTGTAACATATATCTTTTTTTTTATAAAGATTCCGTTGTAAAGAATTAAAACATTTTTGTACTCATCTGTAGGAACTTAATATAATTTGTTTGATGTTCAAGCGACACTGCCAACAGGAGAATTGATTGGAACGAGCAGTCTGACTTATTCTCACATATGTCATAATAAAATTTTGTTTACGTAAAGAAATGAGTATTTTGATTTACATTTTTCAATTTCAATATTTCGCCCGGCCCGTGAAAATATTTTTTTTCCAATCCCGCTCGAAGGCAAAAACAGTTGGCCGTGCTTGATCCGACCTTGTGCTTAGCCGCTGACGAAAATCAGCAAGTAAATGAACTGTTTCTTAGTTTTTTAGGCGAATTTGAAAATGAAGGGTTTTTCAAATTTCAGTTGCATTTTAAAAAATAATGACAGTATAATATAAAAGCTAAAGAAATCTATTTAAAATTCTGATTTTCGATTAGGTACTTAGTAGTTAATATAAGCAATGTAAAGATATCCTTTTGAATTGACCCGTTTTTTCAGATAAAGTTTTGTCAATCCTTTAAGATGTGGTTTAATTAGTTTAAATTACAAAACACAAACAAGTGACCTAATGCGTTTTTGTTCATAAATATATAAAAAAAAGTACTGACAAAGATATGTGTAATTTCTATATTCACTGAACGACATTCCTTTACATATACAGGGTGTAACAGAAATAAATGCCGAGCTTTCGAGGGTGTAAGCTAGATGTAATAAACAATCGTACGGCTAAAATAATTCGAAGTGGTCTGTATTCTGTCGAAACTGTCAGACGCGGATCGCGATTTCGATCTTTTTGGATCTCATCAGCGCGTCGCAGGCAGCTCCGACAGAACACAGACCAACCTTTACCTGCTGTCTTAACAGCGCGTTTTAGAAAATACCACAAATGGCGTAGTGAACGCCATCTGTAGTACGATGCTACATTTTAGGATTACGTATGTTCCAACAAGGTCCATTTAAAAATATGAATTTCTACTTGCTGAAACGAATCCCGGCGTAGCTCACCTCAACGTGATAGGCACGTTACCACAATCGAATAAAATAATTCGAAGTGGTCTGTATTCTGTCGAAACTGTCAGACGCGGATCGCGATTTCGATCTTTTTGGATCTCATCAGCGCGTCGCAGGCAGCTCCGACAGATCACAGACCAACTTTACAATCCGAAGCCAATCCTGTGTGTGAATTGATAACAAAGATGTATAATAAGAACTGAATAATCTGAAATCTCTGCACCTACATGGATGGAGGAGTAAGCATTGCCAATTTTATCGAACGTCTAAGATAAACAAATGAACATTATAAAGTCAAATAAGTCTCCAAAAATTTCACACAGCACATTTACCGAAAACAGTTTTAAAATAAATTTCAGGAAAGACTTGTGCTCGCTGCAAATGATAAGGATACAGCAGCTATTCCTATAAATATTGCTTTTTCGCGTGGACTACTTTGAGGTATTGTCTTCTTTGGAATTGACCCACAACAGCGATATGATTCAAACCCGTAAATACGTATCCTGTCACATTATTGTAACAACAACTGTTCTACAGTGACTGACCTACACTAATAATTGTTGCACTGCATAAAGTTTAAATCTTAAATGAATAAACGGCTACAAGATGTAGGCTCTTAATATAAACACCCTGCATCACTACACTGATGCTATTGAGTGCAACGTCGCGGGTCGCATTTATGAACCAGGACCGGAATTGAATTTACCCATACTTTCAACTACATTTTCTCGAAAACGGTAAACGTGCAATCTCCACACTTATTTCCGTTGCACCCTGTATACACCTGATTAATGCCTAGACCCATGTTTTGTTCGCACCAACTATTACTACGAATTTACTACTAAAATCATTTTCGTATAAGAATGTTCAACTTTTTTTCTGGAAACTTTCAAACCTGTCATCGTTATTGTACGCTATATTCTCGTCATATTTTGTTTAAGAAAACACTTCTAATTGTTTCTCTTTTTCAGTCCGATACTGGCCATTACTCAGTACGATTTGGAGCAATACTACGATGGAACCATTGTGTCGGTTTGTTTCAGCAGCGTCCAAACCTTACTTCCTAGCCTATTCTTCATCCTCACCGTATCCGCTTTCTTCTTCATACCTCTAGTCATATTGATAATAATATATCTACTAATAGCGGCCACTCTCATGGAACAACCTCACATACTGGCCGCTCCACGAAAAGACAGCTCAAACCAGAGCTCCTTAAGTGCCATAAAATATCGCAAACAAGTCGTAATAATGTTAGGAACAGTTGTGTTGGCGTTTTTCATTTGTCTCTTGCCATTTCGGGCCCTTACTCTGTGGATCATTATTGTACCCGCCGAATCGATAATGAGCCTGGGTCTAGAGGGTTATTACAATTTATTGTACTTCAGTAGAATAATGTTTCACATCAATTCGGCCATCAACCCAATTCTGTACAACATTATGAGTTCGAAATTTCGAAACGGTTTTTTCAAGTTGTGTCACATTAGAAGCTTGAAAAAAAGACGCGGACGGGGTACGTGGATCTTCCGGAAGAGTACCATCACGACAACCTCCACAAATACTACTTCACAAAGCACGTCAGAATCGTTTTGGAACAGGTACAGCAATAGAACGTCATCGAGTTCGAAAAGCGGTAAAAAAGACAACACACCAAAAACGGTTTGCTCATCTCAGAACAATAAGGAAAAATCTTATATTAGAATACCTCTGCAAAACCTCAACAACATTAGCATTTTGAAAATGATCAGATGCGAGAGTTACGTTTAAACTAGTATAAACATATTTTTATTTTATAACAAATGTATAAATAGATATTATTTATTAACTAAAATCGACAACTACCTATAGTTGGGACAATTAAAATTGGCAAAGTCCGCAATAAAGAGAATAAGAGAATCTTCTTTCTTGTATCCACTAGGACTATAGTCATTTGCTGTGTTTTGAACACGACCTTGTTAAGTTAGGAAATGCTTCATGAGGAGTACAGACAATGTGAAAAGAGATAACCGGCGAGTAATAGTAAGTGGTGCAACGGTTAGAGATTAACTAGGGACCCATAAAAATCAGGGTCGGATTTATAACTGCCTAGTTGGAATTATATCCTTAAAGATGTTTGGGAGGTACAATCGGAGACATGAGTACATAAAATTAAAAATTCGTGATTAATTAGGTTTTGCAGCATATCATGAGGTAAATCTATCTATACTAAAAAAAAAGTATACGGTTTGAGAGAAAATTTGGAATTTGACCAAACATTTTGAATAAAATAAGAAATAACGAATAATATGGAAAATTTTTAACTGACTATTGACTATTGGCAGTGAATATGCCTTGATTTCAACTTCGAAGCACAAAAATATTTAGCTTTAATGTCTATTAATAATGAGCGTAAAACTTTTTAATATGTTTAAATAATAATTAAAACTTTAAAATTGCATTTATTTCAGACAATTATAAATATTATCATTATATTATCAAGTAAAAACGAGATTTTCAGCTAATTTTTCATTTTTTCCTCGATAACCATTTAGTGAATTTGAATAACCTTACTCTAAAGTGATTCTCCAGAGTTCAAGCTACTTATTATAAAAGTTTGAAATTTCTGATAGCTTTTTTTCTGTTAATAAAAATAAATTTGATCTGTTCGGTCAACGAATCTCCATAAAATTAGGTGTGAAATTACAACTTTTTAAAATTTCAATAACTTTTTAACGGTTTAGTGAATCGATTTATAATTTTTACAGGAGTTTTAGAATTGAATGAGGAACGTTCTTTCAAATTTTTATTTTTCTCGTAGCATTTCGACATACCTCCCGAACATCCTTAAACAAGCGTCTTTCTTAAATTTCTGAAAATGTTAAACTTTCTTTAAAGTCCAAAGCTGGCAACATGCTCAAATTCTGCTTGTCTGAATCTCTCTTTCTGTTACACATCAATTGATGTAATCTTGTTCCTCTTTCTTTAGTAGTGTCCGCTACAGTTCATATCTGATATCTCTTTTATATGTTTACGATATTACTGTCGGCAACCACTCTAGTCTATTTAGTAAGTTGAAAGAAAACAGTAAATGCGACAATTTTATTGAGGTCTAAGCCACTTTGAATGTCCCAACTATACATGAAGTACCTGAAATTATTTAAAGACATACTGATTTCCTATTAAAATAATAGCAGTAAATTTTGTAGCTATCAATAATTAAAACATATTAATTGACAATAGTAAAAAAAGACTTCTAACCAAACAGCCTTGCCTTTAAAACATGTAACCATAATGGAAACTAAAATGTCACTATCGTTAATAGATTTTCGATAATTTGAAAAAGTAACTCTTCCAATTTATTTTTTTAAAAGAATTTTTATGCTTTGCGGAAAAAAATAAATTGTTAAATTTGAATATCGACAATATACCCATCCACCCAGCAGCACAGTTACATTGATTTTTCTTTTGAAATAAAACACTTGAAAAATAACTTTCACTAAATATATTTATATTGAATCTTGACAAATTCGTTTCAACCTACAAGGTCATCTTCGGAAGAAGGTATTATATCTGAGGTTAACAAATTTGGTTCTTATATACTAATTCTTTAGGGTGGGGTGTTTTACAGATATTTTGCACAAAGTTTTTCAATTGGGGAGTTGTAGACATTTTCAATTTCATTTACGACATTTTCCGAATTACAATTTAAATGTTTCATAATTTCTATAGATTCTAATATAGTAAGTTTTTTACCTTTGTCTTTAACATGCAATATTTTTACATTTTCTTTTTTTTCAAAATTGTGTTCCATTTTTACAATATGATTCATAAAAGCAGATTTACAATTGTAATTTTTGCTGTGCTCGTATATTCGTTCCTTAAAAGTCCGTCCCGTTTGTCCTATATGACTAGAGAATTGTCGTAAAGCAATCGCACATCTCGAGTTATTTTCCCTCGTCTTTTTTCTGAAGTAACTGTCGTAGTAAGTCACCATTANTTATATACCTACATATATTATCTTATTAAATTTATTGTGCAATAATATGAAAGTTATTATTAAGAATTTTAAAGTATAAATAAATTCAATTTTCTGTCTTTCGCCTCTGTAAGAACGCTATGGGGATATAACTCAACTTGACAGTGTAAATTACAATACGTAATTATACAGATTGCTTTCGCAACGGATTCACTCTTTCGAGTGAACATCGGAAGGTACGCGAATTGTCGCTTCTTAGATATGCGCATTTGGAAGTCTGTGGATGTCTTCTCACAAGTCCGTAGTTTAGACCATGAAAACTAAAAACAAAGTGATGCCCTCAACTGTTTCAATTGTAAATGTAATTGCGCGCCAACTCGCCACCCCGAAGTTCAGTCGTTTACACTCTACAGCTTCTCACGAGAATCTCTGCTGTATAAACAATAACGAGATATTCTGATACCTAGCTAATTATTTTGTTATGTTCTGGTGACTTAGAGAATGTCCTAAAGCTGTTTTTATGTTTCTTTAGCCGCGGCAAATATATACAAAAATAATGTACATTTATTATCACTTTTGTTACTTGTATATTGCAGAGATTCGCTTAACTTCTCATTGTACTTAGATATTACGTAATTGGAGGCGTGTACTTATGATTTAACAGTAGTAGAAATTAACAAAAGCACTACTGGATAGTACCGAGCGGAGTGGACTAGAGGTTTAGACCATTGCTTAGCATTAGAGAGGACACAGGTTCGATTCCGGGTTCGTCCGTCCTGATGAAAGTTTTTCTGTGGTTTCTTTGGATCACTTACGCAAATGCTGGTATATAGTAAGAAGATTACAGATAATCTTCTCGTCTTTCCTATCACTCTAACCAAGCTAAATATGGCTGTCCGCCGTACTCTCCCATGTAGTCCAGAAGAACTTTCCGCCCACCAGTAGTAGAGTGGCTGGTAAGAATATAAACACCCAATTGTTTAAAGTTTTTACCTGATAGTGACTACAAGCGGCAAGCAAATTTGTAGAAAAACGTTGCCGCTTTTTAAATATTGTATACTTACTTAGTCTATTGCCGATTTTTTTATACTCTACGTAACTTTTGTCCAACTTCAATTAGTTAAGTATTGAATTTTTTATGCCGTCTTAGACACGTATAATATACACTTTTGACAATAATCAAATAAGAATAAAGTTTGCAACTTATATGTTACAGTGGTTACAAGGAAATGAGTGATACCATTGATTTACCGAAAAGTGCATTAATTTTGGCTACCTTTTGGTCATTCTATCCCACTCTACATTGTTCAGGTATGGGTAATACAAGGTTTCAGGTATTTCATGTAAAGCCAAAATTATGATTTTATATAATATACAAAAACAGGGTAGGGGTCGCCACGACATACGTACCTATTATTGTTTGCGATGCACATACCTCCATGAAATGGTACAAATATTAAAGTCAAAAAAACACTCGTGGTTTATTAACAGTAACACATACTTTAAAGGATATATATTTATATTTAATACTGTATAGATTCAAGTCAGAACCGTTTAAAATAAGAATCACCTTTATATTAATTTTCCTGCTCTATGCTGGTGGCTCCTTTACGATAAAAATGGCGAATTTAATATTTTTATATCTTCTTAAAGAACGCTTTTACATAATTTTACGAAATTTGGTTAAATATTATAGTAGATTAGTACCAATCAGTTGACTATGAGCTTACTTCACTACCTACAATGGATATGCTAGGGTAGTTTTCTTAAGAAAAGGAATATGCTTGGAAGTGATGAAAAACTAATATCATATTCTCAAAATAGAAAAAAAAAGCAAAAAGCCAAAAATTTCTTTTCTGTCATGTTACTGTGGAAAGCTCGTTTTGTGTGCTATGAAATAGGGAAGATATGACCTTTTTTCAGCTGTTTTTCAATCATGAAGCAATAAATTTGGTCATTCCTGGCCTCTAAATAATTTACTCTTATTTCGTTAACTATCAATTCAATGACAAGCTTTCCGCATAAACATGACAAAAAATAGTATACGTACCTCGGGAAGAAACATGCAGTCTGAAAACCCTTTTCTTTCCACGACACGTAATGTACTATTGACGCATATCACTACATAAAAAAAAACTTTTGGGTGTTTCATTCCCACCAGCCAGTAATGCTGGTGGGCGGGCCAGTCCCTCCGGACTACGCCGGAAGGTAGGGCGGAAGGCCCTCTTCAGCCTGCTCTCAGGAATCGTGGGAATGGGTGGGTGGTGGTTCGGGTGAGAAAGATGAGACGGACGAAATGAAGACAGAAGAGAATGAAAGATTATCTGTGGAATATTACTGCCTCAGCATTTGCCTAAGTGATCCAAGGAAACCACAGAAAAACTTGGACCAAGGCAGACGGACCCGGAATCGAACCGGCGTCCTCCCGAATGCTAAGCAATGGTCTAGACCTCTAGGCCATGCCGCTCGGTATATCACTACGTATAAACGACATGGTTTACGAAAAATTCGTAAAATTCTTACGTAACGTAATTTGAGATATCCAACCATGAAAGACTTTTCTATTAAATTCCCTAGAAGGTAGTTGTTAAACCCTACATCTCTGAAAGAAAGCGTTTTCGGACACAAACTTATCTGAACCTTTTATTCACAATAATGAGTACTGCCACCTTCCAAAATGTTTCTCCTTCCTCTTGAAACACCCTGTATTATATATCTGTGTATTTAATCTATTAGCAGAAATTATGAAAGCTTCTTCAGTTAAAATTTTTCATAGTTAATGGCTTTAGTAATTATTAACTCTTTTCAACAAAACTATTCACCGAAAGAGAATATTTTAATTTCTAAAGAAAAATAATAATAAATACATAACATCTACAATTCTTTAATAAATAAATGAGTTATTATTATATTAAGTACCTAATGCATTTACATTCCACTGACATACATTTAACTTTATGTTTGAAAAATTGTTTGAGTTAGAAATCGCCTAAACGTAGTTTATTTAATAAATTTTAAGACAAACGCGTAAAGATGTTAATTTCTTTAATTTCTACCCATTTTTAGGAGTAATTTTTAATGGAAAGTTCGATGTTATAAAACGAATATGTTAGTATTTTCTGTAAGAAGAAAAAAGTAGCACTGGCTTGGACCAAACATTTTCTCCTACTGTCCTACTGATTCCCCATATAATAATAATAATAATAAAATGTCTATTATCGTTTCCTTTCATAGCAGAGTAATGCTAAATGAATGTTACTAGGAGACAATAATAATAATTTAAAGAAGGGCACAATATTATTTTGATGAATGATTATTCTTATATCTTTAAAATAGTAAGAAAAAAATATAGGTCATCGTAATTGCGATTTAAAAAAATATTGTCCTTTTTTTTGTCAAAGACATTAAAGTATGCAGTACCTACATTTTTCTCAAAAAAAAGAAAACGGCCCGGTTCAAAAAGTTATCTTTATGCTGCATATTTCTATCAATCCAGTAAAATATCTCAATTATAGAAGTTAGAACAAAAGTAGTGCCTAATATTACAAAAGTTCTAGGGACTAAAAGTTCAATTTTAAGCCTGTATAAAAGCTAACAGCAACATTATATATATATATTGCGAATTAGGCCCTTCAAAACAACAATAACGCAATAAAGAACTAGATGTATACGAAAATTATAAATAAAGCACTGGAAAATTGGTTAATTTTGTGAAAATTTTGAGAGCGACTTTGAGATTTTAAATTTTATTTTAGTCAGACAGACGCTCTGTATAATTTTAATTTTTTGATAAATATATTTGTAAAGCTGTTTTCTTTTAATGTTTGCCATATTTAATTTTTAATCGATTTTTTGTATAAAATGAAATATGTATACCTACCCCTCTTGTGCATTATAACTTGTTGTCGAGTGACCACATAACGTTTCTTTAAAAATAGTTTATAAATGTACTTATTGTATTTAAGGTGCAATGTATTGTAGATAACGTACGTAATACGAAACATGTTTAGTGCATTAACACGACGATAAAAGACATGATACGAATTTTTTAGATAGATTTTAATGAATATTTGAACAGAAAAGTAAAAACTATATAGTTGGTAATAAAATAATAAATTTTTATACTAGTCTTAATAATA